CTCTTTTACTTTTATCTTACCTCTTTTACTTTTGTCTTAACTCTTTTACTATTGTCTTAACTCTTTTACTACTGTCTTACCTCTTTTATTATTGTCTTACCTCTTTTACTATTGTCTTAACTCTTGTACTATTGTCTTAACTCTTTAACTATTGTATTACCTCTTTTACTATTGTCTTAATTCTTTTACTATTGTCTTATCACTTTAACTATTGTCTATTTAACTCTTTAACTATTGTCTATTTAATTCTTTTACTATTGTCTTAATTCGTACTATTGTCCTACCTCTTTTACTATTGTCTTAACTCTTTTACTATTGTCCTAACTCTTTTACTATTGTCTGACCTCTTTTATTATTGTCTTAACTCTTTTACTATTGTCTGACCTCTTTTACTATTGTCTTAACTCTTTTACTATTGTCTTATCTCTTTTTCTATTGTCTTAAACATTTAACTATTGTCTTAACTCTTGTTCTATTGTCTTACCTCTTTTATTATTGTTTTACCTTTTCTACTATTGTCTTACCTCTTTTATTATTGTCTTACCTCTTTTACTTTTGTCTTAACTCTTTAACTATTGTCTTACCTCTTTTACTATTGTCTTAACTTTTTTCCTATTGTCTTACCTCTTTTACTATTATCTTACCTCTCTACTATAATCTTAACTTTTTTACTATTGTCTTATCTCTTTTACTATTGTCTTAACTCTTTTACTATTATCTTACCTCTTTAACAATTGTCTTAACTCTTTAACTATTGTCCTAACTCTTTTACTTTTATCTTACCTCTTTTACTTTTGTCTTACCTCTTTTATTATTGTCTTACCTCTTTTACTATTGTCTTAACTCTTTTACTATTGTCTTACCTCTTTTACTATTGTCTTACCTCTTTTACTATTGTCTTACCTCTTTTACTATTGTCTTAACTCTTTTACTATTGTCTTACCTCTTTTACTATTGTCTTAACTCTTTTACTATTGTCTTACCTCTTTTACTATTGTCTTACCTCTTTTACTATTGTCTTAACTCTTTTACTATTGTCTTACCTCTTTTACTATTGTCTTACCTCTTTTACTATTGTCTTAACTTTTTTTACTACTGTCTTAACTCTTTTACTATTGTCTTACCTCTTTTTCTATTGTCTTAACTCTTTTACTATTGTCTTAATTTGTTCTATTGGCTAAACTCTTACTATTGTCTTAACCTTTACAAAGATCTGAACTTAACTTATTGGCTATATTGGCAGTTTATGCAATCTGATTTAAATCAGCTCCTAAATTACCCCTAGCTTGTATCTATGTTAACTTTAGAGTCAGTTTGGCAGTTTATGTAATCTGATTAAAATCACCTGCTAAATAACACATAGCTTGTATCTATGTTAACTTTATAAGGTCTGAACTTGAGTCAAATTGGCATTATATGCAGATATATCTGATGGATGTCACATTTCCCAGACATTCTTGTGTGTCTCTCCAATTTTCCCCAGTTCTAATCTTAATAAAGCTGCTATTTTTTCGCTTAACTCTGGAAATATAAATTAACTTCCTTAATTTATGTCTATATATAGAACTGAATGTGCTTTTTGATTAATTCAGGAAAATGTGCATTGACTGATCAATAAGATTGTATTGATTCCGTCAGAAGAAGAAAAAAGCTTTTTCTCTCTCTCGGAGAACGGACTGGTTAATTCTACCTGTCATTGTTGTTGTGTTGGACATTCACAGTTTATTGTGATTAGGTGAAATGTCTGACTGACCGATCTATAATGTCCGGTATAATTCTATCAGTGACAGTAAATGATTCCCACAATAACTGTAACGTATTCCCACAAATGTCATTTCTCTTTTATTGAATGACAGAAAATAACTTTGACGAGCTAGAGAAGGAAGCTGGGTGACAAACAGAAGACCCGCGTTAATGTCCTCAATGGGAATCATAAAAATCAGACTCGGCCATTGCCAATCATATCTGTCACTTCTCTTGTCCCCTCTGCTACTCTGGGCTTAGCTATGTTGCACTTTTGTCTTGATATCAAATAATACTTTATGTAATGTCTTCATTCCGTGGTTTTACTCCGTGAGGGGCCCATTCCTGCCTGAATTATAATGCACTGAAAAAAAAGCCTAGGGCATCTGAGGTTTTCCTCCCAGTAAAACTGGAAAGTCTCCATATGACTTATACTGTGTTGGTGTCAACCAAAAATATGCGTGATTTCTGTAAACAATTTATATATATTTAACCATCTGTTATTATTTTCTAGTGTGTCACACCTCATTCTTCCTTGTTCAATTTCTCCAATATAAAAATCAATGAACTAATAGTGACAATTCTTGTATGTTAATTATTCATTGTTTATTGGCGGTTACTGGTAAATTAATTGCATGCACTTGTTCTAATTAAATGAAGATATCTATATCAATATGATGTCTATAAATAGTATCATGTCAATCAATAAATCAATATATCGATGCAAGAAATTATGTTTCCGTTCTGATAAAATGTTTTAGTTCAATATTCCTATGATTATTATTTACCTTTATGTTGCTTATTGTTGTACTATTGTAATGGATATTATTTAACAGGTAGTTAAGCATTTCTTGTTTGTAATTATTTACTTTTCTTTTAGATAGCAATCTATTAAAATATTTAGTATTAAAATTGAAACCAACTTTTTTTGCAGTATTAATTTTTATTAATTGTATCATAGGTTGGTGACCTTTCTGTTGAAAATGTGTCAGAGTTAAATCGTATGTTATATATACATGCACAGTGTGTTAACTGGATTGCAGATATTAGATACCCGCACCCCAGAGCATGCCCATTGTTTGGCTCATTTTTTTCTGGGGTTTACGTATTGTGACGACAAAGAAAGGGATAGCAATTTACGATACAAAAAGAGAAAGAACATACGTCCCCTCTTACAAATCATATAGCCTTGTGTTTCAATGCTCTTTACTTATCACATGATGCAGCAATTTGTCTTTAATGTTCCTCAGATGTTGTATGCCAGTGACATGCACATGTTCATGGTCTATGTTAAAATTTTGCCGAAACATGATAAATATTTTTTTACAGATTAAAAGATGGACAATTCCATTTAAGATGATTAGCAGGAAAAGAGTTAAAATTTGATATCATTAAAGCAGCATGCCTCCTGATTTTTGGTTAATTTTTATGAAAAATTTGTAAATGTATTAAAATAAAAAAATATTGTGCTGTTAAAAAAAAAAAGTAATTGTCACATTGTAAATGGTACTTTCATTCCATGTAAATTACCAAAAATATGTGAAAATATACCATAATAGTATTTACTTTGTTAGTCACAAGGTAGAAATATGGTTATAAATATTGCAAAATTTGTCATTCATTGAATATGACATGCAAATTGTTACATGAATTTGAATTTTTTTACTTTTCTTAAACTTTGAGTTCATTTTTCTCAAATTTGATTTTCTTGAAAAAAAGTTTCGGCTCATCTGGAGGCATGCAGCTTTAAATAGGATATACATCATATACATGTAAAAGATTTATCAGATTTTTAAAGAAACTCAAGTATACTTATTACAATTAAATTATAATGAGCTACTTCTAGGAAATAAATGAAACATTTCTAAATATATTATATACACATTTTATTTACTGAAAACTTTGACTGTCACACTTGAGAATATGAATGTAAAAAAACATATTCAATGATAAATCAGGTGTCTTGGTTTGTGACATATTGCTCTTTGAAGACTTGTAAATTTATCATATTTTCTACTGCATTTTCTTTTGTTTTTCTTTTTTTTGTGAATACTAAAAGCTCATAAATTATGAATGATTCATGACTGAGATAATAAAACTAAACACTGCAAGTTATATTTGCTATCTAGATAATATTTCAGTCAACTTTCTATAATTTGATCAATCTTTCCATTAGTTCAATATGGGAAATGTTTGTTTTTTTCCTTACTATATTTTGTTAAAGTCACATGTAGAAGGATAATGGAATCACTGATAAATGATCATCTATATTACTAAATGAAGATTGTCTTAAATTTCCATGGTAACCATCATATATATCAGTACATCTCTACTTTAATTGCCAGGTTCAATGTTTACTGTCATCTCAGCAGATATTTTATCTTGATATTATGTATTATTTACATATACTCTAATTTCTAGTTACATGTACATTTTCTGAGTGCTTAAAGTGCTTTTCGATATGTTTTTTATCATATTACTGGTGAGTGACGTTTTTTTTGTATGTTTTTTTATGCTCATATATATTGATTGAAAGATTGGGGAGATGTCAATGTTCTTTATGTAGCCTATCTGTTTGTGGATGCAAAAAATTAATCATTTGACTGCTTTCTTGATACTGATACAGAAAAATATTTTCATAGTTTTGTCTTCCTTTACTATGTCCAGTATTTAATTAGTTGAGCATTGCTGTCTCCTGGGACAGCTCTTGTTCACAAATGAAATGATTATTCTGGATAAAAGGTGCGAGTGAATCTTCTGAAATTTTGTACATAAAGTATTCGTCTTGACCTACATCAAATGGAACAGTAATCTCAAAAAAAACTTAAAGTCCCGTCATGTCCAAAAACCTCAGTGGAGTCCCTTTAAACATATTTGGTGTGATGGTATTTTCCAATTAGATGTCTAAAATTGGGTTAGATTTAAAAATTTTGAGTCAAGGTCACTCAGGATAAAAATAGATTTTATTTCTCTTCCTTGTAGTAAAGCTTTATTATAGCAAATATAAGACACAAATCTACCAGTGTGTTAACTGATACTCTTGTTCTGTGAGAAATAAATATAATTATTGTATTGATGAAGCATTTGTGTTTCTTACCAAAGTAAAAGTTATATCTAATCATTAGAAATTAATGTTAGAGATAGTTGTTATTGCAGATGTTGTTAACTTACGCAGTTTTATAATTTGATCAATTTTGGTCTGTATTGCTATAAAATGAGATATAGTTTGTAATTAATATTCTGATTTGCTGTTTTCAGATTTGTGTGAATGATGGATGAGATGTTACCGTGGAAACCGACACCGTAATCTCTATGGATACCATTCTAGACAGCTAGGAATAGTGCTGTTTGACTATGTAAGATATATGAGAGTGAAGGTCGTTTTGGATATTGTGACATAGTGGCGCAAGAGAACGGCTTTTTCTCATCACTTGATTTTAGTTCTATTGTGGCACCGCTAAAAACCGCCAAGATTTCGTTCACAAATTTTCGCAACACGTGGGACGGAGGGATGAACTTTCTACGTAGGAGATTCAGCTCAGGGGATCTATCGGGGGAGCTTAAGAGTGATGATGAGCTTAATTTCTCGAGACTCAATTTTACTAAACGGGGTCCGTCCCCGAGTGCGCCAAGTTCGCCAACTAAAACACAAAGTACTGCTGGATTTTTTTCATCATCATCATCTTCCAGTCAAGCACATAAACCAGCTTATAATAAAGACCGATGCAAAACATTACTTGTCATTGATGATCAACACACAAATTGGTAAATTGATAATACCACAGGTATTTGGCGTGTGTCAAAGACCATAATGACCACCCCTCCCCTCTCCCACCCTCCAACATGCTACAACCCGACTGCCTTATTAATTAATAAGGCAGTAGGTTTGTAGCATGTGGGATGGTGGGAGAGGGGAGGGGTGGTCATTATGGTCTTCGACACACGCCGAATACCTGTGGATAAAACTATCTTTTTTGTTTGTTTGTGGGGATGGGTTGATGTGGGTGGGGGGCAGGATTAGGCCAAATTTATTTAAAAATAATGTTATACAATATATGCTTTCATTATAATATTATGTTACAAAATTTCCGGAAATCTAAACATTTTTATATCCCTGCCACATAGTGTGGAGGGTGCTATACTTGAATCACTGTTAATGACTGTTTCTTGTCTGTCCATTGGTCAGTCATTCCTTTTGTCTCCTTCATGTTTGCTCTGTAAATCCTATACCCTGTGAAAGATATGCTACAAATTTTGATCAAATGTTCAACTTGACAAGGCAATGTGTGGTGTCCATGCTACCACTGTTACAGATTGAGTTAAAGGTCACTTAAGAATGTCAAATTTTCTCATCAGCTCTAGTTCATGAAAGCCATCTTTGGTATGAAACAAAAAGTATTTCAATGATCAGCAAGAAGGGGACACAACACATACATTTTGTTAGTTATTTTAGTAAACTGTAAAACTTCAGGTGTGAGTTTTCGCATTACCTTTATCAGCTTTAATGATGTAAGAGAAACTTCTTAACCAGATTAAGACCTGCAATTTCTTCACTTTATAATCATAGATATGAATTCAATCCTATTTTTTCCCCCATTTTTTTTTGCCAGAGTTCATTGTAAAAAGAACAACATATTTATTATAAAGAAATTTTTTATTGAAGAAAAAACAGAACAAAACATTTATTACTTCTAAGCCTTATAGGAAATGCTTTGAATGTTCTCAGAAATAAATGTTTTTCTATGAAAGAACTTGAGAAAAATCATCTTTGATGAATCTAGCTTGGTATATTTAAGTCAATTTTATGGCAGTAACATCTTTTTTCTCCTTTATTTTCGGGACATGCAAGAGATTATTATTAAATTAACTGAAAGAATTGCTGGAGAAATTACTATTACTAACTGCAGTAATGTACATTGTTTGTTTGAGCAACCGTTAGTAAATGGTGGTTTATATTAGTACAGGGTACAAAGTTAACCTGGTTTTATGGTAATGGCCCTGTAATGATAATGTGTCATTCCTGATATATTATTGTGTTATGTAGATGTGATCTGAGGGGTTTCTCAGATTGATGATACATGGCAGTTAACTTTTAACGTTAAGAAATCTGAGATATTGCACAAGGACATGTTAATACTGGTATATAAAAATTGCCAATTGTCTTTATTCAAATACTGGCATGTAAAAATTGCCAATTGTCTTTATTCAAATACTGGTAAATAAAAATTGCCAATTGTCTTTATTCAAAAAATAGATATATACAGAATCCCTAAAGAAAGCCCAACACGGCAAAATTGAAAATGTTGCAGGCTCGGTTATAAAAATTGCCAATTGTCTACATTCAAATACTGGCATGTAAAAATTGCTAATTGTCTTTATTCAAATACTGGTATATAAAAATTGCCAATTGTCTTTATTCAAATACTGGTGTACAAAAATTGCCAATTGTCTTTATTCAAATAATGGTATATAAAAATTGCCAATTGTCTTTATTCAAATACTGGTATATAAAAATTGCCAATTGTCTACATTCAAATACTGGTATATACATGGTCTTTTTTCAAATACTGGTATATGAAAATTACCAATTGTCTTCATTTAAAAACTGTTATATAAAAATTTGCCGATTGTCTTTAGTCAAATACTGGTAATAAAAAAATTGCCAATTGTCTTTGGCTATATAAAAATTGCCAATGGTCTTTATTCAAATACTGGTATATAAAATTGCCAATTGTCTTTATTTAAAAATGGCTATATCAAAATTGCCAATCGTCTTTATTCAAATATAAGTATATGAAAATGGCCAATTGTCTTTATTCAAATACTGGTATATAAAAATTGCCAATTGCCATTATTCAAATACTGGTGTATAAAAATTGCCAGTTGTCTACATTCAAATACTGGTGTATAAAAATTGCCAATCGTCTTAATTCAAATACTGGTATATTAAAATTGCCAATCGTCTTTATACAAATACTGGTGTAAAAAAATTGCCAATTGCCTTTATTCAAATACTGGTGTATAAAAATTGCCAATTGTCTTTATTCAAATACTGGTATATAAAAATTGCCAATCGTCTTTATTCAAATACTGGTGTATAAAAATTGCCAATCGTCTTTATACAAATACTGGTGTAAAAAAATTGCCAATTGCCTTTATTCAAATACTGGTGTATAAAAATTGCCAATTGTCTTTATTCAAATACTGGTGTATAAAAATTGCCAATTGTCTTTATTCAAATACTGGTGTATAAAAATTGCCAATCGTCTTTATACAAATACTGGTGTAAAAAAATTGCCAATTGCCTTTATTCAAATACTGGTATATAAAAATTGCCAATTGTCTTTATTCAAATACTGGTATATAAAAATTTCCAATTGTCTTTATTCAAATGCTGGTGTATAAAAATTGCCAATTGCCTTTATTCAAATACTGGTGTACAAAAATTGCCAATTGCCTTTATTCTAATACTGGTATATTAAAATTGCCAATCATCTTTATTTGAATACTGTTATATAAAATTGCCAATTGCCTTTATTCAAATACTAGTACATGAAAATTGTCAATTGTCTTTATTCAAATATTGGTATATTAAAATTGCCAATCATCTTTATTTGAATACTGATATATAAAATTGCCAATCGTCTTTATTCAAATACTGGTACATGTAAAAAATTGCCAATTGTCTTTATTCAAATACTGGTATATAAAAATTGCCAATTGTCTTTATTCAAATACTGGTGTATAAAAATTGCCAATTGTCTTTATTCAAATACTGGTGTATAAAAATTGCCAATTGTCTTTATTCAAATACTGGTATATAAAAATTTCCAATTGTCTTAATTCAAATACTCAGGTATAAAAAAATTGCCAATTGTCTTTATTCAAATACTGGTATATAAAAATTGCCAGTTGTCTTTATTCAAAAAATGGTATATACTAAACTTGGCTTTATTCAAATGATGTTTTACAAAAATTGCCAATTGTTGTAATTTGCATACTTGTAAACAAAAATTGTCAGTTACCTAGTATATACAATTACTTGCATACAAAAATTGCAAATTATCTTTATTTATGTACTGGTACATAATGATTTGTAAGAAGAATTTTGTTTTCAAACAAAAGTGCATATAAACTGGTTTTAATTACTTCTACATGTTTCAATCATATGTATATTAAATGAATATAACATTTTGAAAGTTGTATCTTGACAAATTTATTGTTTTTAAGTGCACTTTTAAAAGAAGTATACATTGATAATAAACAAAATACTTACACGACCAACTTTAATGACTTTGTTTATTGTTCAACTTATTTGAATTTTGTATAATCTTGTATATTTTTATATTTCAGGGGTAAATATTTCCAGGGTAGGAAGATATTTGGAGACTGGGATGTACGTGTTGAACAAGTAAGTTTTTTAAAGTATACAAGTTTTACCAATCTTTTCTTTTTTGGTCGGCTTTTAAGTTGCACCAACACAGTAGAGGTCACAAATTGGCCAGCTGCTTTAAAAAGCTTAGAAAAAGTCGATTAGAAATAAAATATATACTCTGTATTATAGAATAAGACAATGATCAGCTGTTTTTTGTGTGCTATTGAAGTTGATATATTGCAGTTTCTTGGATGTATTCATATGACGACTTTAATCAATCAAATTTCTTCACAAATTGGATTTTATAATTCCCCCTCCCGCACTTCACCGCCTGAGCTCAATATTAACATTATTAAATTCCTCCAGTTTCATCAGAAGTTCTAGTGTTTGAAGTTTTGTATTGTTTAGATAAGAAATGCAAATTTTAACTTGCCAAGCAGTGAAAATTAAATGCAAACATTGCATAGTTTAAAATACATCAGTGACACAGAATTTATTTAAAGTTGACAACAGAAAGTCAAGTAAACGAGCAGAATTATTCATCTTAATGTGTAGCACTTTTTGTCCTAAGAATTTCTAAGGAAAGAACCGGCAATATTTTTTCTGAAGAAGACAAAATGCGGAAGCTAAAGATAAGCGTTTGTTTTTATTGAACTGATTATATAATTATATATTACAAGGAAAGAAATGAAAGGTTATTTCAGTGCAGTGCCAATGTATGAATAATTTATTTTATTAGCTGACAGCTACACATGCCCTTAACACCTTTAATATTTTCCTGAAGGATTATATCTCACCAATATATCTTGCAGTGTTTTTTCGGACCACTTTTCTTCAGCTGACAATATATAAATAACACATAGGTTTGTGAGTAATAGTAAAAATATCATCCGAAGGATAAAATACTGTTACCCAAGGTGTTGGCCGAGGGTAACAGTATTTTTACAAGGGGTGATATTTTTGCTGCTACTTACAAATATATCATAGCTATGTGTTTTGATGGGCTCAAATTTAATATCAGAAAATATTGACAATGGATAATTTCCAACACTGAAAAGCAATTGTTTCTGGTGAGCGACTCAGGGCCATCATGGCCCTCTTGTTTATTTTATTACCCGAACAAATACTTCATTGGGACACTGCTTCTATAGGTGCTTATTTTCAGGTTTTGACCTGATATGTAACAGTACACATTTTTGGTCACATGGTACACTTGAATTAACAGTAAGAATTACCCCCATTGGTTTATGGGAAATTAACATTGCAATCTAACTTTTTTCTATATGAAATTGTGGTCCTGATTCATTTGTAAAAAACTGTTGATTTTTTTTTTCTCAGAGCAGGTTATTCAGAATGAAAAGCTATATAATGAGAGCATATCTTAGAAAATCTTGAAGAATAATTCATATCAGCCTTATTAAATAAAAAAATCTTTATTTGAGGAATAGTAATTGTGTACATCATCATATGGTGTATGTATTAGTGTTTGACCAGATTATTACAAAGCACAAGAACCATGATTTACAAAGAGCACATTTTGTCAAAAATTATCTTTCCTTATAATGTTTTAAATAATTTACTCTAAATCATTGCCATCTTTCCTAAATTCTTTATTTTTATGAAAGAAAAAAATACATGCTTAATTTTATGTATAAAACTTTTGATTTCTGGTTTTCTAGAAACATACTTGTTTTGGGCAGAGTATGTGCCCTGGCACTGTCTGTTAAATACAATATATGTCAGTAAAATTTGTGAGGAGACTTGGGGATAGAAAAAATATGTTACAGTGATTGATTTGAATCACCATGACTACCAACACAAAATATCCCTGGCTATATTTGGTACTGGTTATAGTTGATCAATACAATAAGAATATGTTCAGACTGCAAGTTCAAAGACTTCATGCCTTTCATCTTCTCAACAAATCTTTTGGTTTTTGAAATTAATTTAAAGGAGCATTGCCTCTAGGGGGGCAAAAAAGTCAAATTTTGGGGTAGAATATATCTATTCTTGAAGAAAGACTGTTAATGTTCAGAATTCAAGTGACGTTTTGAATTGTGTATGCAAAATATACAGAATTTACTATTTTTGTCATTTATTTATACCCTGCTACAGGCTAAGGGCGATCTAGATACACCAGAACCGTGACAATGTGTTTTTTTATCCATCTCAACCCGGGGTACAACTTTGTACAGTTAAAACTGGGTAAATATATGTCACAGGGTGAGAAAAATGTGCAGTCTGACCAGGACTGGAACCTAGGACCTTAGGAATACAGTTCTGTGGCTCTAACGACTGAACTATCCGGTTGCTTACACATCTTCTCTACTACTGTAAATAGTGAACAGTTCTGAACTATGACATATATTTATAACAAGTGGAACAGGTTGTGCAGTGCACCATGAAACTGTAAAAAAAGTTAAAGTTTGTTAGTATCCCGTTTGTATTCCGTTAGTATCCCGAGATTAGATTGGAAAACCCCACATTTTCTGAGGTTCTGATTATGCATATTTTGACACTTAATAACATATGTATAGCTTTTAATTGATTAAGGCTAGAATTCATGGGGCATCCTTTGTCGGGTGGTTAAGATTGTTGTCTTCAAACCTCACGCCTCTCACCGCTATCGGTTCCAATCTTGCCAGGGACTTTGGATTCTTTCATTTGAGGAAGATATCCAGCTTGCTAACAGAATGTTGGGGGTTCAACTGACTTACTGAGGTGCCTGTTTGGCCTGAAAAAAATTTCATGGGGGGCACCTTTAGGTTTTTCAAAATAAACCCGGAAAGTCGCCATTTTGACCTTTTTCTTAGTTGTTTGTGCAAAAATTTAAAAACCCAAAAACCCCAAAACTACCTCGCAAAAAAAGGCTTTGAAAATTTTTCAAATTTTTTTTATATGCTTGGAAAAGTTAATTTTGCTGCTTTAAATAATTTCAAAACTTTCATCAAAATCCTCACAAATTCATAGACATGCTGCTATTATGGTGATCAATGAATCAATGATACAGAGCAATCAGTCATGTTTCATATCTTTAAATCTTTTTGGAACATTTGAAATTCTTCAGCATAATTGTTTTCCGCTAATTCTCTTTTAATGTTGTCGATAATCAAATGATGTTTTTAACTATTGTTTGATATTTCCTGTGGAACAAAATATGGCTGTCTCATAAAATATACTAGGGATTTATCTAGGAGATGTTTATGGTAGATTTGTTTAATCTTCTATCTCATATATAAGTGCTAGCTTTGAAGAGAAAAGTTTCAATTTGAAGCAAACGGATGATAATTAATCCAAAGAGAGAAAAATTTACACTTTTTTGTAAGGTCACATTTAAGATAAGGTCACATTTAAAATAAGTTCACATTTAAGATAGTGTTACATTTAAGATGAGGTCACATTTAAGATAGGGTTACATGTAGGATAAGGTAAGATAACATCACATTTAAGATAGGGTCACATTTAAGATAAGGTCACATTTAAAATAGGTTCACATTTAAGATAAGATCACATTTAAGATAGGGTCACATTTAAGATAAGGTAATATATAGTGTCATATTTAAGATAAAGCCACATTTAAGATAGGGTCACATTTGGTCACATTTAAGATAAGGCCACATTTGAGATAGGGTCAGTCATTTGGTCATATTTAAGATAAGGCCACATTTAAGATAGGGTCACATTTGGTCACATTTAAGATAAGGCCACATTTAAGATAAGTTAAGATTAGGTCACATTTAAGATTAAGTAAGATAAGGTCACATTTAAGAAAAGGTCACACTTAAAATAAGGGAAGATAATGTCGCATTAAAGATAAGGTAAGATAAGGCCACATTTAAGATATAGTAAGATCAGGTGACATTTAAGATACAGTAAGATCAGGCACATTTAAGATAAGATAAAATAAGGTCACATTTAAGATAAGGTCACATTTAAGATAAGGGCTTATTTAAGATAAGGTCACATTTATGATAAGGTCACATTTAAAATAAGGTAAGATAAAGTCACATTTAAGATAAGGTCAAATTAATTAGGACACTGTAACTGATTACTAAGGCTAACTATTGTCTGACATTTTCTACACATACAATTAAAGTGATTCTCTCTTTAAATCACACTGTTACTGATGAAGGTAAGAGACAATTCCATGTCTAGTATTATGTAATTAGCTAGGAAAGGTCACAATAAATCTACAAATATTTTCTGCCAGCAAATTTAGAGTGTTTCCAGTAGTTTTCAGCTCTAGTGAAGTTGTTTTCTCCTGGCACTTTAATTATTGAAGGTATCACAGTCTCAGTGGTTTATGACTGTTTCATTGTATTTAAATGTCTTCTCAGTTTGTGGTGAGAAAGGAAACTTTGTAATGATATTTTACCATGATAATAAAGAAATTTAGGTTTCTATTGTTTGCTCTTTCCCTCAGAAGATTTTTTTAAGTTTATACAAAAGTGAGGACCAGGGGAGATTCCTTCACTCCTTCCGATTAATGACAACAACCAAAAAAGCTAGAAAATTGCAGATTTTGGTTTTTATTGTCTTTGTTCTTAAAAGGTAATCAAGATTGCAACCTCTCTCATGCCCCCCTAGTAGCAGTTAAAGTTTTATTCAATTTTTAACACAAAATAAATATAAGAATCAATGGTCCCAAAGGACCAGAAATTTGGGACCAGAAATATAACAACTTTGAGAAAAGATCAATGACAGCTTAGTGCAGCTGCACTTATAGCAGTTAAAAACTACTGGGCATCATCAGCCATATTGCATAGTAGAATCAGTTATGTAATTTGAAGACTTTAATAATGTCAATAATTATTATTAAGTATTAATTTAAAGATTCTGAAAGATTGTTAGATAGGAAAAACAAAAATTGACTAAAACTTTTCATTTTTCACAATCTCGTCAGGTCAAGGAAATAAAGATTCTTAAGCAATCTGTTTTTTTTTGTTTGTTAAATGTTGAAGGGCTTGTCCTTTTTGATGAAGAAACAGTTCAATATAAATGTCACCGGGTGAGAAAAATAATTATGCAGTCTGAACAGGACTCAGACCCTGGACCCTCAAAACACTGTTCAGTGGCCCTACCAACTGAGCTCTACGGCCATCTACACATCTTTTCCACAGGGACTCGACACAGTATCGGGATACTGTACAAACACTTTGTCGAGTCCCTATAATCTTTTCCCCTAAATAGTAAGTTTGTGACATTAATGTTTATAGTAAAATATCCTTGACCAAACAGATTAATGACTTCCTTTGCTGAGCTCTTTGTAATATTACTAGTGCTCCATGATGAAAGCCTAATTTTATTTATTTCAGATATCTATGATAAAGGCTCATAGATAAATACAAAGATTTGAAAAATCTAACATAGTTGTTGTTGTTGTTATTTCAGGCAGAATTTAATGAGATAAATTTAGCATCATACTCAGATACGGGAACCATGGTTGATATACAAGTAACTAGACAGGGAACCAAAGTTGTCAGGTATGTTATCATAGCTTTAAAAGTCATATAGATTTACAAAAATTGTGGGGCATCCTTGGCCAAGTGGTAATGGTCATTTATTTTAAAGCACTTGCCCCTCACCACTCTGGGTTCGAAACATGCCAGGGACTTTGGATTCTTCCATGTACTTGCTTACTGAACATTGGTGGTTTAACTCAGGTCTTCCTCAACCAGTAATGCTGGAAAGTCGCCAACTTAAAACCCAACCAAAAAAAATAAAAATAACTCGAAAAAAACCTTGTAAAATGTGCAGAGGTTAAAAAATATACCTGAGTTAGCTGTGATACATTATTAGGGTTAAGCATTATGTGGGGCTTACATGCAATTCGATGCCGATGCTGGAATAATATATTATTGTGAAATTATCCCATTGTGAAACATCTTGCAAACTTAAAAAAATATACACAAAATAATGTCCTGTCAAGGAGGGGATCTAATTAGGAAATTTGAATTTAGGACATCCAATTAATATAATAATTGTCTCTCTATTCTAAAATAAGAGCAATGGTTTGGAGTATTAGAAGTTGCTGGCTAGATTCCAAGCCAGCCATAGTGGTATCACTTTGATAAAACCTGACAACTGGCACAAGTCATTTCATTTTTATATAGAAAAAACATAATTGTCTTCTCTGTCATACCCTCATAGAAAAGGACTATCTTGATAAATGATTAAACATGTTTTATAAACTATAAAAAAAATTTTTTTGAACCAGGGCCTTTTCCGGCAATTTTGGGAAAAGGCATGATGTGGCTTTATTAAAAATGAAAAAGATATGTGGCATTTTATGATATTTGAGAATTTTTTAAAAGTTGATACATGAATTAAGTTTTATCCATGTGTCGGTCACTTGACCTGTTAAGAATCTAAAGAATAAGGTAAAACAATTCAATTTTTCTCAGAATATCTTTGCTGATCGAGACTGGTTATGTTCTGAGAAATTGTTTCATGAAAATGCAAATGACTTGAAAAAAAAAATTTCCTCATTTAACTGATGGGAGAATATTTATGAAAATTGATAAGACTACATTAGTGTGTGCATGAAAACATCATATTTTATTCCTTTGGGTTCTTTTATCATTAAATGCAAATAGAAGTTGAAATAAAATGACAGATTGTTTATTGAACTGTCCCAGCAAATGTTTCCCCTGATTTCATCCATGAAAACAACAAACACTACCTGTAAATTAGAATTTTTCTCTTTTGCATTTTGATTAAAGGCTTTAAGCATGTAATATTAAAATTATGTTTTCAGAATATTAAATGTTTGAAAATCTTTAAAGTAAATCAAGTTTTCTATTGCATCATTATACCTCTGCATAACTAAGTTGTAAACTGGAGGAATCAGCTTTTCCGTCTGGCAATCCGTCCGTCCAGTCGTCTGTCGGTTATTCCTTGTCCGCCAAATAACTTAAAATTCCTTTGACCCACAGTCTTCATATTTGGCATGGAGGTTTTTCATGATAAGTAGATTACCCCTAATGATTTTGAGGTCACTGGGTCAAAAGTCAAGGTCACAGGGGCCTTGACTTAAAAAAGTATGTCAACCCAATAACTTAAGAATCCTTCGATCCACAGTCTTGAGATTTGGCATAGAAGTTGATCATGACCATTGATTGACCCAGATTGATTTTGAGGTCACTGGGTCAAGGGACAAGGTCACATGGGCATTGACTAAAAAAGCTTAAAAATTGCTTAAGAACGCTTTTGTCAACAGTCTTCATATTTGATATTGAAGTTGTTTATGACTAGTAGATGACCCCTATTGATATTTAGGTGACTGTGTCAAAGGTCAAGGTCACAGGGCTTTTCTTCAATAATCTTGTCTGCTCAAATGCTTAAGAATGCCTGTCAAAGGTGTATTGATTTTGGCATTTGAAGCATGTAGAATACATAACTTAGATATGCACTGGCTTACTATCCTAAGATTTGGCAAAGACCCAGATAGCAGATAGTAGTTGGCCCAACGTTGGGCCAATTACATTTGCTTTGTTGGCCCAACACATAATGCCAACATTGGCCCAATGTCAATTTGCTAATTAGGGCAACGTTGGGCCAACGGTTGGTATATGGTTGGCCCAACAACTGCTTTCCTACTCTTATCGTTGGCCCTCCATTGGTCCAATGACTGGTTTTCCTTCCTATCGTTGGCCCTCTGTTGGCCCAACAACTGGTTTCCCTTCTTCTTGTTGGCCCCCCGTTGGCCCACTGACTGGTTTCCTACAATAAACATTGGCCCTTCGTTGGCTTAATGCCTTGTTTTCATAAAAGAACAAAAAATATACTAATTACTACAATTTATTACTAAATGTTGTTCACATATTCATTTTCATTTTCTTTCTCTTTTGTTGTTGCAACTTTTTAGTCAATCTCTTCCTCCGCCCGCCTTCCCTTATCTTGGGCATTATCTTAGCCACTCCTTCATTGTCTTCTCGATTTTATTATTAGTAGACCCCGGTCTTCTTCCTCTTACAGCATCTGAAATTTATACAGTTTACTGATTTTATTTAAATATACACTACTAATTATAATTTACTAGTACACATAAATCTGTCAAAATGCAAATAGAGCTAAGGGGATAAGACTTTGATAGTAAAGAAATATTTTGAATTACAAGTCAATAGATTTAATAGTAACAGAGATATTTGACATAATTAAAAATTTTAACCTAAAATTTTTAAGTTAAAAAGGGGCATAATTCTGTCAAAATACAAATAGAGTTATGATGATCATTTACAACACAAGAGTCACATCTTACACCCACGGTGTAAAATAATTTTCTAGCACCGGTGAAATCACCTTTGAAAAAGTAAAAATACAAACCTAATATGACTTTTTTAAGTTTTTCGAATGGTTTTTTCGAGCCTTTTCCAACCCAGTTGTATTCTAGGGCAACTTCCTGAGACAAAGTGTGAGACATAACATGGCGAACAATGCTCTCCCAATTAGACATAAATTTGCTGTCTGAAATGAAATAAAAACAATTTTTGCAGTCGGGTAAAGTAATTTGTGTTACACTTAAAATTAAATTTACACAAAGTTTCGTATACACTCTACTGCAATGAGTGATGTTACTGCTAAAAAGTCTAGTAACAAAGCAGAATTTTGCAAATAACTCATAATCGATCATAATCATAATTATATCGAGGTTGTCCTTGAGCTCTAAATGACCACTGTTGATTCTGACAAAGTGGTATGCCGGGGTATTCATGCCATGACAGTGGCAGTTCTAGTTCAAGCAGTTCAATATGTTAATATATAGGGGATATCAAATGAGTGTAGATGGAACAAGTTGAATAAAATCATTATGTGAACATAATATTCATTATATTGTTTTATTCAATTAATTCAATAAATACTTACTAATAAACACTAACCCATACTTAGTTTGCACTGTTCACTATTAAGTCAATACTTGTTTTTGAAATTTTCCCTATAATAAATGAATGCTTTTGGCCAGATTGAAAGTAATAAACACGGTAAGGGGTGACTAAAGCTCCTTGTAGCAAGTACATTATACAATAAGTACAGTACTTAATAATTTGGTCATTAACTTGCTAGAAAGTACATTCTATCTATAGTCTCAAATTATGTGAGCTACAGTAACTTTGTATTAGATTTGACAAACTGTTAATAATGCAGCCTTTTACAGACAAATATAACCGCATGACATTAAAATATCCCTGTACTGGTAAATAACAAGTCAGCATCTACGAGTGTCTTAAAAACCCACAGAGACCGATAAACAGTCATCGTAACTTATCGCACTGTGACCAATATTAGACAGACTAACAAACATAGACTGGTTATTGATGTATAAATAATTTGGTAATTTCTACACTAATATTACGGTAATACAGTCTGTTTATTAAGCAGTAATTTTATTTCGAGACATAGATGAATAATTAGTCTGCAAATGGAGTAATATCATTGTTATATTATGATACAATAATTTATATTATACATTGTAGTACTTTATTTTATTATGGTTGGTATCAAAATTAACCAATCAATAACAAGTATCTCATAACTTGCTGCACATTTCTATTGCATTTTATTGTAAATAATATATAACTGTATGTCAATAGAAACAATTGTGGGCTTCAAATTTTCACTATATTCATGGGGATTATCTTTGAGATCTTATAAAAGATCATTACAAGCCCGATTTATGTATGTTTAGATTTGTTCAAGCCAGATTTATGTATGTTTAGATTTGTTCAAGCCAGATTTATGTATGTTTAGATTTGCTTATTACATTATCATTCAAGCCAGATTTATGTATGTTTAGATTTGCTTATTACAGATCATTCAAGCCAGATTTATGTATGTTTACAGATCATTCAAGCTAGATTAATGTATGTTTAGATTTGTTCAAGCCAGATTTATGTATGTTTAGATTTGTTCAAGCCAGATTTATGTATGTTTAGATTTGCTTATTACAGATCTTTCAAGCAAGATTTATATATGTTTGATTTGTTTTATTACAGATCTTTCAAGCAAGATTTATATATGTTTGATTTGTTTTATTACAGATCTTTCAAGCCAGATTTTCTGCTGATACGGCAACATGTACGTGATGCCGGGGAGGACTGGAGGAATATTCTCATAGGATTTCAGTATGGTGGAATACCCAGTATAAATAACCTACATGCTTGCTATAACTTTCTAGATAAACCATGGGTGGTAAGTAAAATAGAGCCTACATGTACCTTTGCTTTTCTTTTTAAATGATGACAGGCATAAAATTTAGGGGATTCCCCCCCCCCCCCCAGCTTAAATGTGTCAAATTTAAACATTGACCTTCACAAAACTTTTTATAGTCATAATTATAACATTAACACTGAATGATGCAATAGTCATGTGACCATGACCATGGTTTTTATTTTGCTATGGAGACAACTTTAAAACTATTGTGGCACCATTTGTACTTCCTTTGTAAAGATCAAGACATCATAATGAATGTTTAAACTGCAGTAGATAGCAAAAATCCCATCAATATTTTTACAGTTTTATCAGGACAACAAATTATAAAGAACTGACCGAATAATTGTTTCTAATTTAGACAAATTACATTACTCAGTCATGATTCTAAAGATGAGGAAGCTGTCTACAATATAACATGTCTGGAGAAATTTTTTTTTTCCCATCCATTCGGCACTGTGATCTTTCTCTACCTTTGGAGTCCGAATAAATGTAATTGGACTGATTAAAATGGACAAAATGTAAAATGATACAGAGGGTCAAAGTGGTCTATAGAAGTTGTTTCCCTTTTTATGCCGCCCTTTACATTTATATCTCAGTTTGTTTTTCTTTTCCATCCTTTTTGTCAATCTTACCGTTTCTCATTGCACTTTCATTTATTGGCTTATACCTTAAATGAAGTGCAATGGTAGTGTTTATAAACGTTTACCCTTCAAGTGATGTTCAAGGTCAGTGAGCCTAAAAACAGAATTTCCTTCTTATCCTTGTAATCAGATAAAAAGAAAACAGAATCCCTAAAGAAAGCCCAACACTGTAAAATTGAAAAGGTTGCTTGCTCGGTTTGATTGAGCCTATTCATGGATGGTAATTGCAAGCTACCGTCCATGCCCCCTAGCACCGGTTTAAGCAGAATTCAACATTTAACATGAAGTGGTAAAATTTTGAATATTGAATTGGTAAAATAAGATCATGTTACATTTATAGCTTTGTCAAGCCACATCATTGAGTCTCCAGCAGTGTTATCTTTATTATATCAATATTTCAGTTTGCCCAGTTAGTACAGATACAGAATCGACTCGGACCTGAGATCTTCCCGCTGATTCATCAGGCGTATTACCCTAACCATCGCGAAATGGTGAGTAATTTATGGGTGAGTGTCGCTCCAGATTGGCCGTTGTTCCACCCTGCAACGAGCAAGCGACTGATCCATTTCATTTAGCCATACTTGGTTTGTATATTCCAAGGTTACTATAGCAACTGCTGTTTGTATTTAATTTATATATAGAGGAAAGAATTTTAATTTTTCGAAACAGCAGTTTCTGTAGTGCTGAATATTTTTTTTTATATTTTGATCTTTGTTTTATTAATTTTATAGCATTAGTTTACATCAGTATCTGTGTGAAATCATTTTTTTAGGCTCAATAAATATTTTGATCGACTTAAAAAAAATTTATCATAACAAAATGATGGCAATGTTTGGTTACAGCTAGATTGAAAAGGTGGTTTTCAATGTAAACACAGTCAATCTATTTTCAAGAAGAAGTAAAATGATTTCACATGATCTTCTGCTCACTTTTCATTTCCTGCTTCATTCTGTTTTTTCAAAATGAGAAATGGCTGTATTGACAGTTTATAAAGATTTTGTACCTTACTTTGATGACTGGTACTGTTTTCCCAATATCAGGTTTTCATAAATTATATATATATACCTTTAACCTGAGAAATTTCTTAATGGACTTGACCATGTTTCATTTTTGGTACTGTCCATTATTGATTTTGGGGGTGTCAATATGAAATTTTAAGTTAGAAAGAGTCTGAAAAAAGCCAAATGTAGTATAATCAATGTTAATTTAAACCAAAGCTTTTTAAAAAATTTATTTTTAAGTTATAATTTTTCTGTTTTGAAATATTTTCACTTAATTTGCACAGATATATTTTCCTTCACACCTTTTAAATCCAGCCCACAATTATAGAATAGCATCTTGTTTGACCCACAAACTACAATTTTGAAATATTAATTTAATCTGCAACAAAAAACTTTTCTTATATGACAGCTTTGTCCTTTCTCGTAAAAAATTAAATGAACAGTAACTTCTTCTAAATAACTTTCATTGCCAAGTATAGTTATGAGACTTGGTGACAGTTTAGATAATTTAATTGATAAAATCGTGCAGCATAAACTTCCTCTTATTTTATAGAAGAAGTGTAAGTTGTTGATGCTGTTATTTTTTTCAAATATTTTCCGGGAAGTCATTTACGAATTTGTTTTATGTCTATGGTTAACATTTCCTTAAATTTAAACAAGCAGTTTCCAGGTAATTGTTTCCATAATAAGAATCATTTTGTGTGATTGGTTGACAATAACTTTCTGTTTTCAAATCAGTCAATTTCTTATAATGCCTTGTGTATTTGAATTTTCTGTATTTCAAAAAGGAATTCACTTCCTGGATTCTGCTCTGCTATTGGTTTATTTTGAATTTGAGATAACCAATCAGATTTATTTTAGATTTTGACTACAGTTGACTCTCAATAAGTCAAAATCGCTTAACTCAAAATTCCGCCTTAGTCGAATAATTTCTAAAGTCCCGTCAAATTTCCTTCTTTATCTTTGTATTTTAACTCCGCTTAGGTCAAATTTTGACTTACCGAGACTCCTGTTTAGTCGAAAAGAAAATTTGGTCCCGTCAATTAAAGTTATATAATATTTTCATCTCAATTAGTCAAAGTGTGAAAACAGCCGACTGATCAAAGGTCGGCGACATCAAGGTGAGATGTTGTCACTCGTGATTTACACGTTTCATAGTAATTTTTAATTGCCGGTCATCATGTATTATTAACACGTCGTAAAAGTGTCTTTATAATCCGTTTCACGACTTAATTGGTTTTAACAGTTAGATAACTAAATTAAAATTTAATTACATTTCTTTAAAAAAGTTGACTCGTGCCAGTCTGACGGGTGTTAGTCAAATAACAGCCTAGTCAAATAACAGCCTAGGTTTTGATGTGTATTATCAACGAAAATGATATTTGTAGAATTAATGTTCCGTTATATTGCATACATTAATTTGTACTTCCGGTTCACGATAGTTGCTAATTTCGTTTTCGTCCGATGATCAATTAAATCAAATATAATTGTGTGTTTATGTTTCACTATTAATATACATGTATTAAATTTTGAATGATATATTTGTTCATTTATAATTTGTAGTTGAAAGTGATTTACCGTCATTTCAATGGTTAAATATTGCAGCATTGCCGCTAACAACAATAAGAAACCTACTTCTTTGCACATTCAATCAGGTACATGTATATACATGTACGAAGTCAACGTTATGGCGGTAGTTCCACGTTACTCGAATTCCGTTTCTCTCGAAGTAAAATAACTAGTCCCTTGGATTTCGAGTTACCGAGAGTCAACTGTATTTCTATTTTTAAACATTAATTTTAACCCTTAACCTGTGCTGAATTTATTGTAATGGGTTTGCAGTTTTGAATTTGGAACAGCCCATTCAAAGTTTTAAGGGATTTTTCAATATCAAAATACAAATATTGAGCTACCAACAGTATAGAACCTGGTCACCCTTCTCAGATGTACAGGCAGGCTGGCCTAGCTCTATACTGGTGGTAAAGGCTATAATTATTTTGAAGCCGTCCCAGAAGGTTAAGGGTTAGTAGTTCCTTAATAATTTTGACTGTAAAATGCCTATTTGAGCTTTCTTTTCTTTTAAACTATTTTGTAGTGTGCTTGTTGTTTATTGCTTTTGGTCTTTCCCCACAGTGGCTTGCTTTTTGAAACTGTTCACAATTACATAATTATAGTTATATATGGAAATTTAAAACTGTATTTCTTATACATTACATTCTATGCAGTAAATAACTTTTCCAATCTTTCAATACTTGAAGACTGATGTTATTTTAGAGAAGAGTGTTACAGCTCTAAGCTTTTTACAAAAAGACATGCTAAAACAATATATGGATGACCAATATTGTAACGGTTTAAGGCACACAACCCTGTTGCTCACCACCAAAAGTGGTTTGTGTCCTTATATATGGGCTGAATGCTCAAGGGCAAATATGTTTCCGACAAATGGGGCTGCCATGAATACTGGAAACATAGTGTAAATTGAAAAGAAAATTATAAAAATAAGGTGACAGTATATTAAGAGAGAAAGTAAAGGCATCTTATATAACTTTCCACTTGCAATGAATGTGAAGAGTACTTGATTCAGCCAGCCTTATGTTGCTTTGACCCTCATTAAGAAGACATTCACATACTTTGGAATAAGCTATCATTTCTGTAAATAATTTATTTTTTCTAGTAATTATTTATATTTGTAAAGGATCCGGTGCATTCTTGTGGAATTAATGTTTTATTTCATAATTACAAAATCTATAACAAATTGTGTATCATTAATAATGACAATTTTATAGCGAGCTTACCTGGAATTGAACAACAGAATAAATTGAGCCGTGTCATGACAAAACCAACATAGTGCGTTTGCGACCAGCATGGATCCAGACCAGCCTGCGCATCCGCTGAGTCTGATCAGGATCCATGCTGTCCGCTATCAGTTTCTCTATTTGTGATAGGGTTGTTAAGCGAACAGCATGGATCCTGATCAGACTGCGCAGATTCGCAGGCTGATCTGGATCCATGCTGGTCGCAAACCCATTATGTTGGTTTTGTCGTGACACGGCTCAAATAAGTTTTGCTGCCAGGTTTTTTATAAAGAATTGATGAGCAAAGTGAATGTTTATATATCATATTTCAAATAAAGCAATTAATTTACCATATTACAGGACTATTAACAAGGAGTCATGAATTAAATGAATAGAAGATGTAATATAAAATGGCTGATTACAGTTAGATGTATTGATTACAACTAATTAAAATGATCAATTAAGAAAGATTACACAGTGAAAATTGAACACTGATTGATTTATTTTTGAACATGTAGCTTAAGATTCCTAGAAGCATCAATCTGTGTCCATTTAACCACTCCATTATTTTGTTAGCAGGAAAACTTGATTCCAGGATGACTGTGCAAATTGTAAATTTTTACAATATAGCTTTCATTTTTCGTTTTTATGCAGGGATTTCCAGAGAAATTCTTTTCCTTGCCAAACCATAAAGAATATTTTGTAGCAATAGAATAATTTGTTGTTTTTTTTTGTTTCTTTAAATTAAATTTGCAGGAAAGGTTTCTATGCAGTTAACAATATTGTCAATCAGTTATTTGATTTGGTAGCCACAATAAATGAGGCTTCAGGGAGGTTATGAAGCTGAAACAATTGATGACATGCTATAATGATCTACTTTTTATCAATTTAAATTCTTTGCTTCCATTCATGTAATTAGGTGCTAAAAGTAAAGGACCAGTCTGACACTCCTTGTGTCTGATTGGCTGAATCTAATTTTAACTTTATGACAGACCAATCATAGAGCTTTGTTTTGTGACTGGTTTCCTGTATCAAGTTAAAAAATTGCTGACTGGTTACATATTGATTGGCTCTTTGCTGGAATCTATATATGAAAGATTTATTGTAATGTTTCATGCTACAGTCTGAGATCCTAGCTCCTACTTATCCTAGATTTATTGAAAGTCTATCTTGATCTATAGGTCTTGTCAATAATTGTTTTGGTAGTCTAGCTTCTATATTCTTGACCATATTAGATAATCTGTACATGTTTCTGCAGACTGTATCCATATATAACAGAACATAGTATTCTTCATAAATTACTTTCCCTTATCAGCATTCTGGAATAGTTAATAATAACTTGACAATAAGATTGCGTAAAAATGTATTATTCCTCACTGCAAAGGAGATTATTTCAGACTTTTATTTTTTACCGGGACATATATAATCTATGGGACGCTTCCATAACAGTCACCTGATTTCTGGGACAGTCCCGGACATGTGGAACATTATGGCATGTATGCTTTAATTCTTTGAGTTCCCATGGTTACAATGAAGAACCATAATGGCATCAGTCAAGAGGCTGACGACTATATGTTGTGTGCAGTCTGCCCAGACTCTTATGATGCTAGCTACTTGGGGTACTACTAAAATACGCAACGGAGATTTTTTGGCGCAACGGACGCAACGGGCGCAACGGAGATATTTTTTTAGAAAACCCGGCACAACGCCTTTTTTTAAAGTCAATGTGCTATATTTAAGCATCTAAACTGATTGTTTAGCACTATTAAGTAAGTATGTTTTAAAATGTTTCATAAATTGTATATGTTTAATTGCACTGAAGGGTTATATGCCTGGCGAAATGGAA